GCACAGTACTTGGAACCATTATTATTTATTATATACATAAACGACATAGATATCGGCATAGACAGCAACATAAGTAAATTTGCTGATGACACTAAAATGGGACGTGTTATTAAATCTGGCGAGGACTCAGCAAAACTACAGGAAGATCTAAACAAATTTCTTGAATGGTCTGAAAAATGGCAGATGAAATTCAACGTGGACAAATGTAAAGTACTCAGTATAGGAGATGTAAACAGGGAAACCAGATACCAGATGAACAATGATGCCATAGAGAAATCCGACTGCGAGAGAGATTTAGGAGTAATGATAAGTAGGAACCTTAAGCCAAGTAAACAATGTGTTTTTGCTCGTAACAAGGCTAATAAAGAACTTGGGTTCATACAGAGGAGTGTTAGTTACAAGACTAGCGAGGTCATCCTAAAACTATATCTTGCTCTTGTGAGACCACACCTGGATTACGCAGTTCAGTTCTGGTCACAGTATTACAGAATGGATATAGAATCCTTGGAAAGAATTCAGAGGAGAATGACAAGACTAATCCCGGGCATTAGGAACCTTGAGTATAGAGACAGGTTAAAGCATCTTAATTTGCACTCCCTCGAGAGACGTAGAGCGAGGGGCGACCTGATAGAGGTGTACAAGTGGAAGGCAGGGCTAAACAAAGGGGACATTACAAAGGTACTCAAACTATCCAACCAGGAGCGAACTCGTAACAATGGTTTTAAATTAGACAAATTTAGATTTAGGCGGGAAATAGGTAAACACTGGTTTGGAAACATAGTAGTGGATGAATGGAACAAGTTACCAAATATCATCATTAACTGGAATACGCTGAATAGCTTCAAACATAGGTTGGATGCTTATATGAGCAATAGGGGTTGGGTGTAAACGGGACTGCCCAGTATGGGCCAATAGTCCCGCTGCAGTTTCCTCCATTCTTATGTTCTTATGTTCTTATGTTTATTCCTCCCGCCTCGCACTGGTTTATATACCCCTGAGTTGCCAGCGATCGCTGCTCACGCAATGACAGAAATTACAAACAATCTAACTGTTACTCATTCAAGGATGACCCTCAGTTGACAAAGGTCTGGCGAATTACTAAAGTTGATTTACACAGACTAATTCAAGGTTGCGTTTGCCAGTAGAGAGTGCAATAAACGTAGTGACAACTGTGTTCGAAGGCGGGACTTACTGGGAGTGATCCCGAGGGTAAAACAGATGGGAAAACACGTCACTCCTGAGATTCTACAAGCGCCGTGGATTTGAATGTTATGTAGCGTAATATGAATTAAAATGGGTTTTAAGGAATGACAATGATGTGCGCAGTACATACGAACCTATCTCAAGAAACTTGCAAAAGGGGTGTGGTTATCTACGCTAGGCAACCTTAGAGCCAGCCAGGAGAGGGTACAGGGAGAGGATGTTTTTGAAGAGTCCAAGTGGTGTAAAATTAAATTAAAGGGAGGGGGACTTACTTATCGTCGGGTGTATCTACAGATCCCCAAACTGTGGCCCACTAAATCAAAGGAACTTAAGAACCTTAATAAACAACGCGGCGATGCTCAACCCTAGCCACCTCCTTATCATGGGGGACTTTAACTATGGCGACATCGACTGGAGAAACGAGTCCACCCCGAATGACTTGAATAACCCTGCTACTCTTTTCGTAGAAACTCTGAGAGATAATTTTCTGTTCCAACATGTTAGAGGCCCGACACATTACAGAGAGGAGCAAACACCCAAGCCACTTGACCTCATCATAGCAAACGAGGAGGGTATGGTGGCCAAACTTGAACACCTTGCCCCAGTTGGCACCAGTCACCATACAGTGTTGTCATTCAGATTTAACTGTTACCTATTTCAAGATAAGGCCAGGCCAAGGTGCAAATATTACAAGGGAAATTACAATGGGATGAGGGAAGAGATGAGGGGTATCAACTGGCCTGACTTATTAAGGTACAAGAACGCAGACACTACGCTGAATATCATAACTAGTAAAATGACCCATTTGATCGATAAATATATACCCAAGACCAAACCCAGTGCTTCTAGGAATACGAGGGGATCCCTACACATGAACCATGCGGCGGTCGACAAAATTAAGAAGAAAACCCAGAAATTCAAGACGTGGGTTGGGTCAAACGATGAGCAAGACAGGAGGATGTATGCAAGAGCCAGAAACCAAGCAAAGATAGACTGTAGGAGGCCTGAAAAGGAGTTCCAGAGGCTGGTTGCAAGCGAGGTCAAGTCAAACCCAAAGGCGTTTTACCGCTATGCAAAGTCGAAATTGAAAACGCGAGTAGGAGTATCAGACCTGAGGCTGGTGGATGGTAGTTACGCAGATTCTGACCAGGATAAAGCTGAGGCATTGAACAGCTTCTTTTCCTCAGTGTTCACAAGAGAGGATGCAACTAACCTTCCTGCGTTTGAGGACAGATGGTTCGACACAGCACTGACCCACATTGTGTTCACAGAAGAGGGTATTAGAAATAAACTGTCCAGGCTAAAGGTCCATAAGAGTCCCGGCCCTGACATGGTGCATCCTAGAGTGCTAAGAGAGTTGTGCAACGAGCTTGCAGAGCCCCTGAAGATCCTGTTTTGTAAATGCCTGGATGAACAAATGGTCCCCAGTGAATGGAAAGTGGCTTATGTGAGTCCTATCTTCAAGAAGGGCGATCGTCACTCCACGAACAACTATAGACCGGTGAGCCTGACTAGCATAATGTGTAAGGTACTTGAGAGTATTATCAGAGATGCCGCAATGGAACATCTAATACGAAACAACCTTGTAAAAGATTGCCGACACTGTTTTATGCCAGGGCGTTCTTGCTTAACACAATTGCTCAAAGTATTGGATATTTGGACCCATATTCTGGAACGGGGTGGTAATATCGACAATATTTACCTAGATTTTGCCAAGGCTTTCGACAGTGTACCCATCGAAAGGCTGAAAATCAAACTGGAAGGGTACGGAATTCGGGGAAATGTCCTAGCGTGGATAGAAGACTTTCTACATGACCGCAAGCAGTGTGTGGTGATTAATGGCACGAAATCGTCATCTGTACCTGTAACAAGTGGGGTACCACAGGGAAGTGTATTGGGCCCGCTGTTGTTTGTTTGTTTCATAAATGACATGTCTGACGTTGTACACTCCTCCATACAAATGTTTGCCGATGACGCCAAGTTATTTCGGGAATTAAGAACCAAGCGGACTGTGAAGAGCTGCAGAAGGACCTCTGTGGGCTCCAGGAATGGTCGAAGAAATGGCTGCAGAGATTCAATGTCACGAAGTATAAGTGGATGCACCTGGGGCGTACCAACGGTAAGGAGGCGTATCATATGTCCCAACGGGATGAAGAAACTGCACTAGTTGAGACTGTGTGTGAGAAGGACCTAGGTGTGTATGTTGACAATGAGCTGAAGTTCTCGGGCCATTGTGAGAAGAAGGTAAATCAGACAAATAAATTATTGGGTCTTATAAGAAGTTCGTTCAGATATCTAGACGTTCCGTCCCTCGTAACGATCTTCAGGAGTGAAGTGCTTCCCCATCTGGAGTACTGTCACTCCATCTGGTCCCCGAGATATGCTAGGGACTGTCAGTTGGTTGAAAATGTTCAAAGGAGGGCCACCAGACTGGTGCCTGCACTTTGGCACCTCAGCTACCCTGAGAGATTGGAGCGCCTGAACTTGCCTAGCTTATAGCCTACTACAGACGGGCAAGGGGGGACCTAGTTGAGGTGTATAAGCATCTCAGGGGGCACTACTCAGTTGAGTGTCCTTACTTAGAGCTGGCGGACGCTCGCCCCACAAGGGGTCACAGCTCAAGATTGAAGAAGCCGCAAGTCCAGAAAACCGTGAGGGCAAACTTTTTCGGAGTGAGGGTTGTGAACTCTTGGAACAATCTACCAGAGAGTGTTGTGACGGCACCGAGTGTGAGCTCTTTCAAGACAAGACTTGACCAACACTGGAGCGGGTTCAGGTACATTCAGGAGCCGGTGCATGCCCAGTATTTGCCAACAGTGTGTAACAGAGACGTGACCGATCGCCCGGGCGGCTAGTGAGCCGATCTTTTGGTGAAGATAAATGAAAAGAGACGTGACCGATCGCCCAAGTGGCTAACAAGCCAATCAGTGGCGAAGAGGATAAAAGTAAAAAAGTAAAAAGTAAAGTATATGGGTATAAATATCCAATGCATTGAGCAACTGTGTTAAGCAGGAGCGCCCCGGCATAAAACCGCGTATACTGTAATCCATGTAGATCCACAATGGAAACGTGGATTAAGAGTACTGTAGTGTTGTCAAAAGTAAGAAAAACAACTGAGACCTTACAATTGTGTATAAATGAGGCAGGAATTCAGATCAGAAACGTGGGACTTGATCACAATTTTGCGATGCTATATGGCAGCATGGTCTGCCATTAGACATCATATTAGGCTTACAATATCTTCCCACGCGGTAGTACCTCCCTGTTTGATTGCTGCCTACTACCTACTGCAGGCGCTCTAATCTCTTAGGGTAGCTGAGCTGCCTAAGTGCAGGCACCAGTCTGGTGGTCCTCCTTTGGAATTTTCAATCTACGTACTGACAGTCCCTAGTATATCTCGGGGACCAGACGGGATGACAGTACTCCAGACGGGAAATCACCTAATAATTTTGTTGCCTAATTCACCTTCTCCCAATGGCCCGATAACTTAAGTTCGTTGTCAACATACACACCTAGGTCCTTTTTTACATTTAGTCTCAATTAATGCAGTTTTTCGTCCCGTTGGGACAATATGATACGCCTATGTCATAAAAATGAGAGTAAATTGCTGTTAATATGGTACGTTAAGGAGCTTCATAACAGTGTTATGCACGTTGTTTAGTTTTATAAAATCCAACTACTGGAAGCTTCTATTCATTGATGTAGTATATATTTAAACAGAAAAATGCGTAAACTTCATATGTACGATAAAAACAATAATATTACCATATCTGGTACGACAACTTGGGCGGAGGAAAGTCAGTGTCTGCCCAGACCCATCAGAAGGCCAAGCAGCGGGTGCAGTAGGTTGTGTCGTCTGTTAAAGGTTGTGATTGGAGCGAAAATCAGGTAAATTAAGTCTCTTCACTCCTTTATTTTGCACTTAAGGATATAAAAAGTAATATGGGATCCATTCAAAGTTTATCTGTTAGTATGGTTTTAATTATTATTAACAACATAGTGTGTGTGTGTACATTTGCCGTGCAGCTCACCACTCATTCTATTATACTGTAATAAACAACAATAATAATACCTGTAGCTGATATTTTGTTCCTTAAAAGCTCCAGTTCTTCTAAAGAACTCATTAGCTCTCGAAACACTACAAAGTCAAAGACTTGAGACAAAGGAAGAAATACTGTATACTGCAATAAAACATCACAAAAAGTGACAGTTCGACCAGTGGTCAGTTGAAGAATTCCCGAGACTAAGGCTGATAATTCCCTAGATTGGATCAACATTCCCAAAATCCATTTTCCACACACACACACACACACACACACACACACACACACACATATATATATATATATATATATATATATATATATATATATATATATATATATATATATATATATATATATATATATATATATATATATACAGAGGAGGGTGAGATCAAGTCCACAGAGGTATAGGTAATGACCCTACTAATTTTCACAAAAGCACCACGGCGGTCGGTAGTCAGGTCAGAGGGAGAGACTGACCTAACCTCACCTGGTTACAAATCTTCTTAATTACAAAGTTGTCCAATTTGTACATACCATTACTCAAATTCATGTTAACGGATTCGGCATGTTTAATGAGACTAGATTCTATATTGTTCCTACTGTCAATTGAATTACAAGGTAATATTGAGGAGGCATTATCCCAGTCAATGCAATGTTTATTATCCCTCAGATGAACAAACAGAGCATTGGATTCCTGGCCTGTCCTAACACTATATTTATGCTGTTTAAGTCTAGTTACAAGATCTTTACCTGTCTGGCCTAAGTAAAACATATTACATTCCTTGCAAGGGACTTTATAAATGCAACCAATTGTGTTGTTGGGGGAGTTCTTGATTAACACTTGTATACCAGTGCATGAGTTTTTAAATGCCACATTGTGTTGAATCTTCCAAATATTATATAAATGATGTCAGACGACAGACCTTGGCAGAGCCGACGAGCTGATTTTCAAAAAAATTTCACTATTTGTGCATTACACATCGAGGGAGTCTCATTCCAATCTTCCGTATACTGTATAGTCTTTGAGTGTTCATAATAATGCTAAGAAGTGTCTCACAGGTGTTTATGATAACCAGGTGTCTGAAGTATTTTAAGGATGCAAGGCATCCATCAGGTGCTAACACTAATGATGACCTGAGGTAATTCACAAGTGATTTTAATGATTAGTGATTTCCATTGACTGAAATGTGTTCAGAATGATGCCATGACTAATAATGATGCTAAAGGAATTTATGGGTGCTCATAGAGATCCCAAGTAAATCACAGGTAGTCATAGTGATCTCAAGTGACTCCAAGATGCTCATATTACCAATGAATTATGAATTACAGATGCCTGTGATAAGACCCAATGATTTGCCTTGTGGATGGGTGTATGGTGCCATGTAAAACAGCACTCTTGTTAATTTGACACAAACTTAATAAATTTGTTACATAACAGAATGAGTGTTAGACTAATTTGATTTCTGTTGTATATATTTTGTACAGATTCATAAAACAAACTTTTTTTTTATAATGGTGGATTATGGGCTGTGTAACTGATTTCTTTCTTTTGCAGTATAGACTTTCTACTTTTCAGTAGGAAGTAAGAATGGAGTGGTCTAGGCTTGTGAGTCTGGGGCGTGTTGAGGACATGGAGAAGAAGCGTGTTGAAGCCCATGGGAACTCACAGATAGATTGGACCAAGATGGACACACTGACTACCCAATTCATGAAGTCACATCGCAGTTTGGCTGAGGCAAACCAGAGTTACTCAAGTACGTCACCTACCTCCCTCACTTCTTATTTATTATACTTTAAATTTTTGTGGTATATTTGTATGACCTACAACTTGTACCTTATTTGAAAAGCAAGTTACTTTCTTTTTTTCATGTTTGTGATCAAAACTTTAGTAGATATTGCAGCATCTGTTTTGCAGATGCAAGAATGAGCAAAAGAACCCCAGCAACTGGAAATGGCTCATGTGAATCCTATATTCAAACAGAGAGATTGTCACCGCATGAACAATTGACTTAACCCATAACTATGTCTTCGTTTGTGTGCTGCAATACATTCTGGGGTAAAGCTGGGGTTTGGTCAGCCATCTTTGTTTTTATTCCACTTAACTTACAAGCGCTGCTTGATATAGTTACAGTAATTTGCTGATAAATTGCCAAAAGTAAACTTTTGTGCTGAATTGTTTCAACAGCAAGGTTTCTATCAGCCACCAGTCAATGATAGAGAGAAAACTAAAAAAAAATAAAAAATTCAGAAATGATCATGATTTATTTCCATTTTGTCTATACTCCTGTTTCACCATATTGTTGCCTCTGCATCAAAGAAAAATAAAACTTGATTAAAGTGTGACCTCATAAAGTGTTGCTACTATAACCAAAGGCAGAAATATGGTGATGGATAATACTGTATGGGTAATTGTTAGTGTTTGGACCACATCAGAGTCAATGGCGTAACCCAAATGCTGTGCACCCAAACATTGGTGTGCAGTGGTGTTATCTGTGGTTGTATTACAATTTTAATGTAATTTTTTTATGAATAGAAAAAAAATTAGGTCATGTTATATTTACTTTTACTTATCCTCTTCGCCACTCATCGGCTTGTTAGCCGCTTAGGTGGCCGGTCACGTCTCTGTTACATACCGGTACTATTAACAAGTATACTATACTGTGCATGTACTGGCTCCAGAACGTATCTGTACCTGTGCCAGTGTTGGTCAATTCTGGTCTTGAAACAGCTCACACTCGATACCGTCACAACACACTCTGGCAGATTGTTCCAAGAGTTTACAATTCTCACTCTGAAAAGGTTTGTCCTCTCAATTATCTGGAATTGTGGCTTCTTCAAACTTTAGCTATGACTCCTAGTGGGGCAGGCTCTGCCTGCTCTAGGTACAGACATTCGACTGAGTAGTGCTCTCTGAGATGCTTGTAAACTTCAATTCGCCCCCCAGGCCCCGTTGTGGGTCGTCTGACCTGTGCCCGGGTGGGCTAATTCCCGTAAAATAGTACAGGTATGAGCTAGGCAGTTTCATGCATTCTAATCTCTGGGTAACTGAGGTGCTGTAATATATATAATTGTCACTAGAGGCACTCATCATGAACTTGATGAGGGATACCAATAGTAAGAAGGTGTATCACGCATCCCAACATGATGCAGAAACATAAATAACCAAGACCTCATAATGTTCTTCAAAAGTGAGGTGTTCCCAGACAGATCAGAATGCCTGCAGTTGCTAGGTTATACTATAGAGGACGTTATTTGGTCAAGTGTTCATATCTTGAATTAGCTAATGCCTGACCTACTCAAAGTTGAAGAAGCCACAAGTTCAGAATATTGGAGTTAGATTTGTGAGCTTTTGGCATAACCTGTCAGAGAGTATTGTGATAGCACCAAGTGAGAACTCATTTAAGACCAGACTTTTTTTTTATTTTTATTTTTATTTTTATTTTTTATTTTTTATGGGGATTAGCCCACCCGGGCACAGGTCACTGACCCACATCGGGGCCTGGGGGGCGAAAATTTAATAATAATAGTAATTCATAGTAAATGAAATTTATCATAAAAAGTAAAATAAAATAATAATAATAATAACAACACTGTAATAATGATAATAAAGAAAAGAAAAACAATAATCAATAGTGAGAAATGCTATATGTATAATATGTTGTGTTGTCAATAGTAAGAGAAACAATTGAGATCCTGTAATTGTGTGTAAATGAGGCAGAAAGACAGATCAGCAACCTGGGACTTGGTCACAATATTCGTGATGCCATATGGCAGCAGGGTCTACCATTAGACAACACATTATGCTTCCAATATCTTCCTAGGCGGTAGTACCTCCCTGTTTGATAGCTACCTACGTGCAGATTCAGATAAATTCTGGAACCACTGCATGTCCAGTATTTGCTAACATTATGTAACAGCACTGTGACTGACCACCCAAGCGGCAAACAGTGGTCCCTCGGTTAACGAACACAATTCGTTCCAGAAGGTCGTTCTTTAACCAAAAATTTTGTTAACCGAAACCATTGTTTCAATGGGATTTTGGGTAATTGGTTCTAGCTCTCTGAAAATTACATACAAAGTAAAAAAAAATGCAGTAAAGTACACTTACTTTGAGGTGTGTATGTAGAAGGCTCCTGGTTGATGATGATGGGAATTAGAAGTGGGGGTGGAGGAGAAGGGAGAAGAGAAGGAAGTGGGGGTGGAAGAGAAATCACCCCATGCTTGATGCTGTCATTTCACCCGTAAAATTTTAAGTTCACTGGGTGTAATTCAAGATTATTTTCTTTAAATCAACACTGCTCTGCACTATATATTGTCAATATGTTAAATAAATTTCAGAATGACCAATAATTGTACTGTAAAAACGTAAAAATACTCTGTGTTCAAAAGACCCGCAAGCAAGATGTTTCCTCCACTGAACGGAGATACAAACTGAGGCCTTGGTGGGTGAGTAAAGTGGCTGATGGGCGCACCAAAAACTATTTCCCTGTACTGCAATTATGTTAAATACAGTGAGTGTTAAAATTGCTAAAAAAATTAATATAAAACTTGGAAAATTATTGAATAGTACAACCTTCTTGATATTTACTCCAATTGTAATGAATGTAAGCCCTAGATCCAATTTCTGTATTGGCGGACTAATCTTCCAGCTGGTGAGCAAGCCAGAGCATGTCGAAACATTTTCGTAAGAATTTCGTTAACCGAATTTTTGTTCGTTAACCGAAATGAAGATTCTTATGGAAGGTAATTCGTTCACTGAGGCGTTCGTTAACCGAGGGACCACTGTATATGGCTGAAGTGCTAACTATACAGTAGTGAAAAAATATGCTGGCATTCATATTATTTTTATATCAATCAAAATATAAAGTAAAATTAAGTAAGTGTATAGTGTGAGAACCTTGTATTGTGTACTGTGTGAGAACAACATTGCGCAATTTCATTTCGTGTTTTTGAATTTCGCGAGCACTACCTAATGTAACCAAGTCTTATATTTGGCGTTAAAATATCGTGAGTTTCGCGAGATCCAGCAAGCTGAATGCTGGCCACCGTCTTGAATGATGCCACAGCCCTCATACCAGTTAGTCATTTTTGCTACAACGTGTGTTTTGTCAACGCGAATTGGTTGTAACGCAATTGATGAATAGAGGAACGCTGTTTGTAAAATGCAAACTTTTGCATATGAATGTTGGCTATAGCGCGATTCCATCCTCAACGTTTTAAGCGTGGCGCGGTGTTATGTAATGTTTACAGTTTACGTTCGACATCACATGTTCAATTGATTCGTGTCTTTTGTTTGTGAAGTGTTTTTTGAGAGGTACTCTGTAAATTTTGTTCTTTTTTTGCAAATTTAGCTGTTACCCATAAATACTTTATGAAAAGAATAAGTAAAAAGAATGTTTCACAGTGAGGACTAATAACGGTTTACACCAGCGCTCCCTATTTACTTAACATGATCAGTTGAATCGCGCGGTTTCTGTCGATTACTCCGTGATTTTTGCTGATTTCTCCAATTTTGTTGTATTAGTGATGAATATGGAAAGACAATGTAAGAAGAATGTTTCAAAGAAGCGTTCTGTTGATCGAATTGCCAGTGGTGAACGTAAAAGGGGTTTACAGAATGCAACTATCGCCATCTTAGCGACCGCCCGGGCTGTTATTGTGTGCTTTTTTGGGTGGTGCTACCACCTGTTGAGTCAAGATAATGGCTTCTACCTCTACTAGGGGCCCTACTGGTGCTGGTGGGACAGACCCACCTAAGCGGCCAAATAAGGAAAAGGAGAAGCAGGACTATCATAAAGGAGTTAAGTTTGCCAAGTACTCGATGCAGGATAAGCAGCGTGTGATTAAGTTGCTTGAGGAGGGCCTAAAAACTAGTTTCCGGAAAGCACAATCAGGTCAATAAAGGCAGAATTTGTATAATTTGGAGGTTATAAATGGGAAAATCAGAGGTTGATGTAGAGTGGCCAGCCTATACAGTATTGTTATTTTTCCCATTAGTTTATGTATTTGCATTTGGCGTAATTTTTCCAGTCTATATTACTCGCGAAATACAAGATCTTACTGTACTGTGTGGTGTGAGAACACTGTATTATGTGTTGTGAGAGTATTATATATAGTACTTTACAGTGTTAGAACACTGTACATTAGTGTGTATTGTGAGAACATTATATACTGTATGGTGTGAGTCTTTTTTAGCACATATTGTTAACAAATGCATGAATTATTCACTTCAGCCTTGGAGGAATTGATCACTATTATGGATAGAGAAGAGGTTGAATTAAAAGCTCAGCTACATCACCTGAAGGTTTCCACTCAACCTTATACAGCAAGAGGTCCACAACACTGTACAACTGAGGCTAGGCAAGTCACCACCTCCATGTTTGTGTAGATAAGAAAGGATTAGAACACAGTGTGAACTAATGATATGAGGCGTCCCGCATCATAAGGTGCATTCAGACCATCCGGGCAAAACCCGTTTTTTGTTGGAAAGCACTATTTTCGGCCTAGCTCTATACGAAGGTAGTTGATAAGATCTCCTTATTACACTGTAAATAGGGTTGAAAGCCCTTTGAAAATAGTGTAGAACATCGATTTGTGGCAGACAGGAAATTATGGGCTTGGCTTTTGCTTCATGAGGTGCTCACATCCCGTCAATGAGTGAGTGAGTGAGTGAGAGGAGCGGGTGGCCAATCACAGCGGCCGGCCTTCAGCCTCCTCCTCCGTCTCGGCCAATGGCAGTAAGCGTCTGCTATCTACATCACGGCCCCTCCAGCCAATGAAGCGGAATCCCTCTCTCCCTCTCCCTCAGTTCTCCATTTTTGTGGCAGGAACTGCACTATGATCACGATTAAAGTAAAAACCCATAAGCGGGTGAGAGTTTTGTTGCTTCAAGTCAACATTGCAACAGCTTTTACTTTTTACTTTTATTCTCTTCACCACTGATTGGCTCGTTAGCTGCTTGGGCAATTGGTCACGTCTCTGTTACGCACTGTTGGCAAGTACTGGTTCATGTGTAGGGATCCCATCGTATTCCTAGAGGCACTGGGTTTGGCCTTGGGTATATATATTTATCGATCAAATGGGTCACTAAAAGTTATGATATTCAGCGTAGTGTCTGTGTTCTTGTGCCTTTATGAGTCAGGCCAGTGGATAATCCTCATCTCTTCCCTCATCCCGTTGTAATTTCCCTTGTAATGTTTGCACCTTGGCCTGGCCTTATCTTGAACTAGGTAACAGTTAAATCTGAATGGCAACACTATATGGTGACTGGTGCCAACTGAGGCAAGGTGTTCCAGTGCATTACTTCATGATGTGCTACCTGCCATCTGCAAGTATAGTCCTTTAGCTTCAAAATACATAAAAAATGATTGCTGTATCTCAAAAAAAAAAAAATATGCATGTTTAAAGTCGGAAAAACTTTAAACACAGTTTCTCGTTTTCAAATTTGGGCGCAAATAACCCATATGATGTGAGGTGCCTCATATACAGTACAGTATTGCATATTGTTTGGTATGAATATCATCACTTGCACAAACACCCCATTTTCTGTGAGGTTTTCATAATTAGGCCCTGTCAAAATATCTTGCCTTTTCCTTTCTCTCCCATCATATTTTTATATGTGTTCTCCATAAATATTGAACTGTTAAAAATATTCAAAGTTTATGGATATGTGTTCCTTTACCAGGCAATATTAGGTGAATAAGGACAAGATTTATGTTTTAAAGGTTAAAAGCTAAAATGAAGAATGTATTTCAAGTATACAGTAGCTTCTTCATGTTCTCTCTAACTTTTCGACCTCTCAAGATAATGTGATGCATGTTTATAAGCATGTGTATCATCACTGGACTCACAAGTACACTTTTTATATAATTTTCTTGTTTTACAACAGCCTCCAATCAAGTGTGGAACTGATTAGGGTGCAGATTGGAGATGAACAGCAGGAAAAACTAGTGATGGAAAATGAGCTGGAATCCCTCAACAAAAGACTGGAAGAAGTACAGCAAAGCTATCTTGATAAGCTGGACAAGATCAAGGTACAGTTGTAAGGGACTCTTTTTTTTATTTTTTATTTATTCTTTTTAATCTTTATTCTTCAATACTTATATACTTGCTTCATATCTATATTTTATATTAATCTTCTCTTGTGTATACAGGTATATTAATAATTTTATTTTCTAAGTCTTTCTCTCTATAAGTATATACCCTATCTTTATTTCTTTGTTTATATTTTCTATGTTAATATTCTTTTCTATACTTTTTTCCTTCTGTCATATATATTTTTGTATTTTCTGAATTTTATATCCTTTCTCTCTCAATTTATTATCATGCTTTAGTTATATTCTATACCATGGATTAGTCTGGGAAAACCATGTCATTCTTACTACTGTATAACACTTATTTTACTTACAACGATAGCCTGCCACCACCTAGACTTTTATTAGAATATAATATATTTCATTGAACTGTTAGGTAGCATGCTAGCGAGCTCCTAGGCACGTGAGTTACAATATTTATTTTCTGAGAACCATCGGGTAGAAGGAATAGAGTGGTGATACTCGTTGTTTACTGATTCAATATTTATTAACAAAAGGAGTGACCAAGATGTTAAATAAGTACACTCAGACAAGACTGGACCCCTTAGGTCTCACTTTACAATTCATAAAATAAATCTTCAGTTACTTATTACATCATTAATCAATGTTAAATTATTTCTTTGACAAATAAGGTGGTTATTTTACACGGTCAGATAGGACTGGACCCTTAGGTCTTACTTTTACATGTAGCAAAATAAATCTTCAATTTTTGGTTACAACATTAAACAATCATTATATTATTTTATTGTCAATACAGATGGTTATATGACACACTTGATAATATCCCCAATTAAGATATTATGTAGCACATCATGTTATTTCGGATTGAACAACATGGCACTTTAACTAGAACTCAGTTGGTAGTACATTTGAATAATGTACTCACAACCCACATAACATGTTATTACTGGTACTATCAATATTTATGGGTTCACTACTCAACATGGGATAACTATATTTCTGCTAATTATCCCCAATCATATACAACAATAATACTTCGGCCCATATAACTGTAAGGAGTGCCCCAGGGTGTCACACTGGTGTCACCACAACAAACGAAGAGCGCTGTTAGGGTCGGTTGCGGTCTGTGACACTGTGAGGGAGTTCGGGCCTAGTTCCCAGGGTGCGTACTCGTACAATTTAATCGTGCCGAATTAACGACATCCTGCAAGACAGCCAGCTGGTTTGCAGCTTCCGGTCCCCCAGTGACTGTCGGGTATTCAGCTAACACACACACTGTGCCTGAGATATGATGGAGAGCGTCAGAGATGTCACAAAAATAACTCAATCACCAATAATCTTTCGTCTAGTAACGACAGATGATAATTATGTTATATTAATTCTTTCACTGGGTAAATGATAATTTCACTGTTACAACATGAAAACTGATATTCACAAAATGCACTAAGTTAAACTGACTTAATATGATGGGTGTGGGAACATACACTTACCTGAGATATGATGGAACAGCGTCAGAGATGTAACGCTGCTCCGCGTACACGAGTCTATATACGGCTAACCGGCAACTCAGGCCTGTGCGCTACACATACCAGAAAGACTAATCACGCAATGACAGAAATTACATTCAACTCAGTCGCTGTACATTTAACTATGAAAATCAATGCCATGGTTCAGGTGAATTTCTGATGTCTATTTTTATAATCTAATCAGAGATTCAGCTTGCCAGGAAGAAGTGAAATACACACACTGTTAACAGTAGTTCTTCCAATATAAGAAGAATTTATAGACAAGGACCCTCTATGGCAGGGGTTCTTCACCTGGGGTCCATGGATGGGCTTCAGGGGGTCCGTGAAGGTCAGATAAAAATTTAACATTTATCTTCAATCCAAACAACAACAACCTTCACATTGAAATGAACTTTTGAGCAGAATTAAAGTTTTGTTTTGTTTAATTTGCACAAGATGATTGTATTTCATTTTTGCATGGAGTGGCCATTAATTTTTGCATAAAAAAGTGTGAAACATAATTCTTTGTTAAGATTGTTTACTTTATTCATACTTTGTGTATGTCATACACTGTATGAGGCAATGAATTTTCAATAAAATAAAGTATACTCATTGCATGCAAAGTTGTGCTTATGTGCATTTTTCTAGGGATGGTGGTCCATAGCTTTCACCAGATTCCCAAAGGGGTCCGTGACTCAAAAAAGGTTAAGAACCCATAGAGTCTATGGGTATAGGTTGAGATTTTAGAGATAAGAAGTTTGACATGTTCTTTCAGGAGATTAATGGCTTTCTTGAATAGACAACTGACACTAACTAAACTACAAGCATCAGATTCTCTGATGTTTGGGCATCGAAATGATCTAATTTCAGTAGTTCTCAGATATTCATGGCTATCCCCAGGGACAATATCATCGGATGCCATTCATACTGGCAGACCTGCTAGCCGCTTGGGCGATCGGTAACGTCTCCGTTCCGCACTGTTGGCAAGTACTGGGCATGCACCGGCTCCTGAATGTACCTGAACCCGCTCCAGTGTTGGTCAAGTCTTGTCTTGAAAGAGCTCACACTCGGTGCCGTCACTTTACAAGTGTTATGAACAATAAAGACAGATAAAGCTTTCAACATCACTCACAAAGGAGTGCTTTAACTGTAATCAGACATATTTAAGTTGACTCAAAACAATGTTGTTCTCTCACACATTCAGATTTACTTTATAGAGAGGTTGGTTTCAGGAAGTCAGAGAAAATGGACGGCACCTAAGCTCGGGAGCGAAGAGAAAACGGACGCCTCAGACGGGAGACTCGATAAAGAAGGCACAGCTACATGTTTTGTGGGCTATCGAGTGTAATATGAATCGTCTGATTTTACGTTATCTAACATATCCGACCGCGGTCATTACAACAGTACTTTGGTTTCTTATACAAATGTTGATTCAATGATTACGTTACTTTTATCCTCTTCACCACTGATCGGCTCGTTAACTGCTTGGGCGATCGGTCACAACTCTGTTACGCACTGTTGGCAAGTACTGGGCATGCACCGGCTCCTGAATGTACCTGAACCTGCTCCAGTGTTGGTCAAGTCATGTCTTGAAAGAGCTCACACTCGGTGCCGTCACAACACTTTCAGGTAGATTGTTCGTAGAGTTCACAACTCTCACTTCGAAAAAGTTTGCCCTCACGGTTTTCTGGACGTGCAGCTTCTTCAATCTTGAGCTGTGACCCCCTTGTGGGGCAAGCGTCTGCCAGCTCCAAGTAAGGACACTCAACTGAGTAATGCCCCTTGAGATGCTTATACACCTCAATTAGGTGGCCCCTTCCTCATCTGTAGTATAAGCTAGGCAAGTTCAGACACTCCAATCTCTCAGGGTATTTGAAGTGCCCAAGTGCAGGCACCAATCTAGTGGTCCTCCTTTAAACATTTTCAACCAACTGACAGTCCCTTGCATATCTCGGGAACCAGACGGGGTGACCGTACTCCAGATGGGGAAGCACTTCACTCTTGAAGATCGTTACGAGGGACGGGCTGTCTAGATATCTGAATGACCTTCTTGTAAGACCCAATAATTTATTTGCCTGATTTACCTTCTTCTCGCAATGGCCCGAGAACTTCAGCTCATTGTCAACATACACACCTAGGTCCTTCTCACATTCAGTCTCAAAAAGTGCAGTTCCTTCATCCCGTTAGGACATATGATACCCCTCCTTACCGTTGGTACCAGGGCTGGATTAAGCATAATAGGGGCCTGAGGCACAGATCAACTTGGGGCCCCCTACCCTCAAGATATATATATATCAAGTACAAAACATACCAAAATTTATCAATGATTTCATCAATATTAAGCTTCTGCAAAATAACACATTCAATGTTCATAAGAGACAGAAAATTGAGACATGCTAGGACATCGTTGAATGAAGTTCATGTTTTATATGCTTCAACTTCGAGAATGTTTGGATTTGGGGGCCCCTTAGAGTCGGGGGGGCCTGAGGTCAGTGCCTCAAGTGCCTCATGGTTAATCCGGCACTGGTTGGTACGCCCCAGGTGCATCCTCTTACACTTCGTGACATTGAATCTCAGCAGCCATTTCTTTGACCAATATTGGAGCTCACAGAGATCCTTCTGCAGCTCTTCACAGTCCGTATGGTTCATGATTTCCTGAAATAACTTGGTGTCATCGGCAAACATTTGTATGGAGGAGTGTACAACATCAGGCATGTCATTTATGAGGCAAACAAAGAACAGCGGGCCCAATACACTGCCCTGTGGTATCCCGCTTGTGACAGGTACATATGATGATTTCGTGCCATTAATCACCACACACTGCTAGCGGTCATGTAGAAAGTCTTTTATCCACGCCAGGACATTTCCCCAAATTCCATACCCTTCCAGTTTGATTTTCAGCCTTTCGTGAGGTACACTGTCAAAAGCCTTGGCAAAATCTAGGTATATGTAGTTGATATTACCACCTCGTTCCAAAATATGGGTCCAAATATCCAATACCTTGAGCAATTGTGTTAAGCAGGATCGCCCCGGCATAAAACCGTGTTGGGAATCTTTTACAAGGTTGTTTTGTAGTAGATGTTCCATCGTGGCATCTCTGATAATACTCTCAAGTACTTTACATATTATGCTGGTCAGGCTCACCGGTCTTTAGTTGTTCGTGGAGTGACGATCGCCCTTCTTGGAGATAGGTCTCACATAAGCTACTTTCCAATCACTGGGGACCTTTTGTTCATCCAGGCATTTGCAAATCAGGATCTTCAGGGGCTCGGCAAGCTCGTTGCACAACTCTCTTAACACTCTAGGATGCACCATGTCAGGGCCGGGACTCTTATGGACCTTTAGCCTGGACAGTTTATTTCTAATACCCTCTTCTGTGAACCCAATGTGGGTCAGTGCTGTGTCGAACCGTCTGTCCTCAAACGCAGGAAGGTTAATCGCATCCTCTCTTGTGAACACCGAGGAAAAGAAGCT